TAATATAAGGTTTTGTCAAAACTAATAACATTTATAGTTCTGCGAATAAACGCTCTGTTTATACAATAAAATTATTAACTTAAACAGTACTCTAGAAAATGTGTTATATACAGAGCAAATCAATAAAATTTCAAATTCATACGAATTAATTTTTTTTTTTTTTTTACAGCTGGAAAAAATGTACAAATAAAACTTATGAACGCTGCACGAGGCTGCTGGTATATTAGAATAAAAACTAAATTAAAAGACTAGTGTATAGTATTAAAATACTTTTTTTTTTATCATATTCAACTCTGAGAGGTAGGTACGAGGAATATATTAGTTCTAGTGCCTTACAACGTTGTAAATTTCTTTTTTGATTTGAAAACTATATTCTATTTAATGCATACAATTTTAAATGATGATACTTGAAAATGTAATAAAAAGTTGATCGTAAGTTTTTCTCTGTAAATTCAAAATAACAGATTTTATCATGATAGCTCCATTTTTTTTTTTGTTTGTATAAGCGTTTCAAGTTCAAGTTATGATGTAATTGAATATTAAAACGAAAAATTATGATTTTTCTCCTATCAGTTTTTAGTTGATTTGGTGTTGGTAATTCAAAAAACGTAAGCATTCATAAATATATACAACATCATAAATTCTCCTTTACTACCTATTACGTTTATTGTTATTTCCTACACACAATAACGTTAAAAAAAATTTTATATGACTGACTTTTATGGTGTTAACTTGTAAGTTTATGTAATTGATTTTTTTTGGCAAACCTATACAAAATACACCATATCAACCTATACCAAATCAAGAAAATTATAATTATTAACAATATTGAGATAAATATAATATAACATGAGTTGTTCAATTGAAAATATTTGCTGATACACCTGTCTCGGGTTCTTTTTTTCATATAATTCGATTTATAAAATTTAACATACCCGTTACAGTAACCCTTTAATGACTCCAAACAAAAAGAACAACGGAGTGAGTTCCATAGTTTTTTCATAATCGTACTGATAATATTATTATGTTTGATTTTACCGCACTAAAGAGATTTGATGCATATTATAATTATAAACTATTCGAACTTGAGTTGTTTCGATCGGTGTGTTAATAATTTTTTCAGACCATAATTGTACAAAATATTAATTGTATTATATCATATATTTCTCATATTGTAATTAATGGTAATAAGTAATAACTAATAATATTTTCTGCAACGTTTAAAATACCTAGTCAAAATACTATATAAAAAAATCTCATAACAATCTTGGAAATTCGGAAAACCGATATTCAGAATCATTGGTGATGTGTAAAATTTCAGTATAATTCCACCGTTGATTGAACAAATCCCGTAAAATAAAATATTATATTTTGATAATTAAATGTAAATTAAATCACACCACAGCCAGACAATAAAATCAGTTAATTCCCACAAGTAAAACAGGCTCTCAGCCAACCAAATTTTATCAGTCAAATTTAAATAATTATTATGGTATTTTGATAGCACAAATGTTTTCAAAAACTTTAAATTATAGTTTTTTATTCAAAAATGTAAAAACAATAATATATAACAGCCAAAGCGATTTGTCACCTTGATCACCCTTTTTTTTATTAGAACACCTCTGTAGAATAATATACTATACACTTATGAATGTTAACAGTAAAATAATAATAAATAATTACACACCTAAGTAATTTCTTCAATTTGTTTAAAAACATGTAATTTAAACTTGATATTTTGTTTGTTATAAAACAACATAATATAATTGCGGATATATGGTATAAATATATTAAAATAATACAAAATAAGACCCTTTAGACATCGAAATAGAATCGTATGATGTGTACAAATGCTTTGCCTACAAATAATTAAGACCATTATTTTCAGAATGCCACAGGGCCGGCCACCGCTCAAGTCCGACACAATAGATTACCAACCTATCCAATTTTAACCGAAAAACGATATGTTTCGAAGTGCGTTGTCAGTGAATAGAATGTATCTAAATAATATATTATATTGTAACTGGAAAAATAAATAGTTATACAAGAGCATTTTATAGGTTACTATTAAACATTGCAAGGAAAAATGTTTTTGGTTAAATACGATTATTATCTATCATTATACCTACTCAAAAGCCTCTATATAGGTATAGTCGTAATAATAAGCATTTTATAACCGTTGGTTGCAATAATGATCCTAAGCAGTTTCAAACGCTTTTCTTCGTTTTAAGACTTAAAATCGATTAAATAATTGGAAAAAATTCCATCCATTTGATATAGATTGGTTTATTATTAATACATTAGTACTGCTCATCTTCGCGAACTTCTCAATAGGTATAGTTCTCGAATGTATAACCGTTGTTGATTAAAATATAAATCCTACCTTTATCTGATACGTTTCAATGCCTGAAATTACAATTTATCCAAAAATTGTCATAAATAACAAACGACCACTGTTGGCTGATGAGGTCTTAAGAAGGTGCTAAAGTATATCGAGACAGGTATGGTTTAAAATAGGTATATTTTGAAAATAATATCATCTAATATAAAATCTCGTGTCACGGTGTTAGTGTACGAACTCCTTCGTAACGGCTACACCGATTTTAATGCATTTTTTTTTGTATATTTGGTAGATATGAGAATAGGTCGTAAAAGAAATTTCACCCTCTTACCCCTCCACAACCGGGGGAGGTGCTCAAACGGGGATTTTGAGATTTACAGTGGAAATTGTTGTTCATAAATGGTCGCTATGTATTATAGTAGAAAAAATAAGTATTAATAAATTGGTATTTATTATTTTGTTGCCTTTGACTTTCACAAACGAGTTAAAATGTTAAAGTTAAGTTAATTTTAACTTTTTAACTAAACTTATTTTAATTGATATAAACTTAATAAATAACGAGTTACTATTAATCAAATTCAATTTAAGCTAATTTATAAATAATTAAATAATAAATATAATAAAAATAAAAACTAGGTATTATTGATGTTGCATATTACATAACCATTTACTAGAATAGGAAATTAGAAACATAGTTAAATTAATTTATTGTTCCATTAACCAGAATTCTTCAAGAAAAATAACTTAATTAAATAGTAAATACATATTATATCAATAGCCATTTAGGTATATATTATATTATAATATATAGGTGTATCGTATATTCGTATATATAAAGATTAAAGATATACCATACTGCAGCATCCGGGCATATTGTAATAATAATAATTAATAAATACTTATAACTAATAAGTAATATGATATTATCTTATATTATTGATATAGATACAAATCACAAATTTACAATTCTCAAGAACATATTATAAAATATTTTCTCCAAAAGGTATTTATTTTTTTATAAATCAAAAGATTGTATTTATATTTCAGCATTTTCAATTTCGTGTGCTTTTGGTATCTACTACATATATCTATTAATTCAGTACCTAATAATTAAATTCTATGTATAGAAAAGCTATTGGCTATTTCCTGTATACAATAATATTTATGATTTTTATTATTTTAAACCATATTACTGGGTATTTATATAGATATTAAAAAAATAATAATAATAACTTAATTTAATAAGTTAATTGACCATGTTCATATAACTTTTAACTTAAATGAGTTAAAAAAAAAATAGGTTAACTGTTAACTTTAAGCTTTTCAATATGTTTTCCATTAATTTAACTTAACTCAGTTAAAAATTATCATTAACTTGCCCAGACTTGGATATGCATGAGGAATGTATAAGATACTTAGAACTACCAAATAATATTTAAACATAATGAAATGGTCTGGTCATGACTTCAGATTTGTATGAATTGGATACATACTTTACGTATAGATGTTAGATATAGATGTTAGAAAATGGATATTATTGGTATTAAACACTTAATTAATCATAGAAAAAATGCATCAACTACAACACAAATAAACAACAATTACAAAGTACTAACATATCGATCGCAAGGGTTAAGTAATCGCAACACTGGACGCACCTCACTAGGGGGGTCAGAGCGATGGTCACGAGTGCTATCTATCGAAGAGGCACCTTTTCCCCCATTCTCCCCCTTTTCAATGACATGTTCTTCTCCATGGAGATCATGGCTGTCCTCTTCATTTTCATCAGAACTCTCGGCAGGGTTTCATGAAGTCAAAATGTTGATGGCTCCCTTATGTAGTTATGTGATCCAATCTTCAATACTTTATACCGATTTTAACCCTCACGGCCTGTTATTCTGCATGTACCCAGGAATTTTCAACTTAACTTTAACGTCATTAGGAACTGTGCGCGTTTGATGGTGACTAAGTCACCTATGCGGTACTTTACAGCTTCCTTCCTGCACTTATTAAATAATTTTAGTTGCTCCAATTATACTTTTAATATTTAATTCTAACTTGTATACAGTGTGGTAGGTTATGTTACCGACTGTTTGGTGTAGAAATAAATAATACTCAGTCTTAGGGATCAAGTCGTATTCTTTATTTATAAGTATATATTTATTATTTATAAATTAGTTACAGATATGGGGTGAGTGAGGTTCACGGATGCGTCGGCCAGGCTTACAAAAGCGAGCTAACGCGGTGAGAGCTCGTATTCGACCGCCGATATTAGTCGTTCGGTCCTACCACATTTAACAAGGAAATAGAATTGTAATCAGTGTTACAATGTGGGACGGAGTCATCAGCCGGTAGCGCTTAACTTAAACAAGCGGCTACTACTCGGCGGAAAGGAGCTCGGGAAGGTGGTACTTAAACAAGTGGCGGGGGAGGGGGAGAGCGGAGTCGGCGGTGGTAGTCATGTGTCGTCCTGACCACCTCGTATCGTAGGCGGCTTGAGGTCGCCGCACTCGTTGGTGTGGACGATCGTAGAGTCGTGGCTTCGTACCGATGGCTACATCGGGAGCCGCGGTCGACGAATACACTATGCTGTGTTCGTCTCGTCGTCCCGAGTGGTCTGCGGCCTCCGCAGGTACTATAGCTAGCTGCTTCTGGCTTGCTAGTCACCGTCGAGTTGGTATCGTCGGATCGGACGTTCGCCGCTGGTCTGCTCGGTGATATAATTTGGATCGCTACCTTCGTCCAGTTTACACTGCGAAGTCAGCGTCGGGTTGGCGTTGGTTTTCTGGTCTCCGAGTCTCCAGTGGTCAGTGTTCGAAGTTCTTGTAATAGGCACTTGTTGACGGTTAGAGATAAAATTAAAGACTGGCTTAGTTTTTTTGCATTGCTTGTATAACCCGATAATTTTCAAATTCTTCTTCCAAAATTGAAATTCTTTCTTTAGAAGTTTTTGATAAATCCATGTATGATTTACACACATTTCAACAATCAACTTCAACTGAAATTTAGACCTTACATCTCTCCATTTACTCGAAATTTTTCGAAATCAAAGAGAGCATGCTATCTCTTACCTCCCAAATTAATGAACTAAAAGAAGAAAACGCTTCACTCCCCAATGATTTAATCGATCTTTCCAAACGTGTTGGACCTAGAGTCTACTACCAGCAAAGACGTATATACGGATTGCCTGCCAAATTTACTTCAGGAATTATTTGACAGTGAGAATTTGTCATATAATGTTATTGTCCATGGCATACCTGGATCATCATCTTTTCAATCACAAATAGACTATCGGATGATGCCAAACTCTTGCCAAAAACTTTCCGATCCTTCATGATGCCTCTACATACTAATTTTAAGTCCATTAGACTTGGTAAACCAAACAACCGTGGCCCCAGTCCACTTAAGGTTTTTCTTTCATCAAAAAAGACGTAGCTCTCAAGCTAATTTCCGACTTCAATTCTTTTAAACGTTCTCAATCCCCTAATGATGTTCCCAACCCAACTTCAATCTCTCGTGACTGCACCAAACAGGGACGGGAAAATGTACGACGTATTTACTCGGAATTGGATAGCCGTTAAAAAAACGGCGAAGATAATATTGCTATCAGATACCACAATGGACAGCCATCTATAGTTTCAACCTCGTGTTCGTCTTATACTTCCGGCCATTACACCCACTCATTGAAATCTACTATGTAAAAAACTATTAACCTCATGCTCCCTCGGGTGCGAGCAACAATTTCACCGCTCGGAGTATTTCAACACTGAAGGAAACTCACCTTCCTTCATCTGTCAATCAACATGCTGTTCATACTTCGCTTCATACTCTCGCTTAACTACCTCCAACTGCACTATATGCCACGCTGCTAAAGTAACATTTAACAAATTCTTAATTGAATTTACTAATTTTAAATCACTTCATTCTAAAGTTGTCAATAATGTTTTCGTAAATTTAAATAGTTCTTTAAGTAATAATAGTAATTTGTTTAAATCTAAGAATCCCTTGTGTACTAATAATTGTGATACTAAGTAGACAATAGATATTATTGGTATTTAACACTTTATTAATCATAGAAAAATGGCATTAACTACATCACAAATAAACAACAATTACAAAGTAATAACACATCGATCACAAGAGTTTTCTCTCTATCGGAGAGACTCCTTCTTTCACATGTATATTATAGTACAAAGTGTCCTGTATAGTACAATCTGAATATCGGAGCATTCTTACTAACCCAGATGGTGATGACAGACAAAAAAACACACGTAATTATTATATAGATACTAAAATCAATAAATTCTCTCTTAGATTCTAAAATACAGGACCGGGATAGAAGGGTTTCGGACAACTATTATAATATGTAAGCAACCGGCCCATTTTTCCTACATTTAACGGCCTAACTTAAACACATATCTTAAATAGAACATAATATTATGTTTTATTGTGCTTAGTTGAATTATTAAGAATGTAAGCCCTTCCATAATTAAATTCATTTTAATATTTATGAATTTTTTTTTTTTTACATAACCGTAACCTGCAGTCTACTGTACTGTAGTTCCCGGCCCGGCCCTGCCCTGCTAAAATGTATACTGCAATTCAATTCAATTCAAATGTATACTGCTATTTCATTTGTCAGGTCATTCTGTTACACCTTGTTTATTATACTAAAATATAGTATAATATCCAGGGTGATTATGTGGGATAAAAATAATATAAACATAAATATAACAATAAAATATAGCAATCGATAATTTATTAAGAAATGAAATTTAAAACGACAAAAAAAATAGTGTAAAATAAACAATCTAATGTATAATAATATAATAATATTATATAAAATTTAATGTCAGGAATATTTAGAGAGCAACGCATTTTGCGTGATGGATTCATAACGATAGTAATATAAATTATTTAATGTCATACGGCTTGCTGGTGGTTAATTAATGTGGTCGTCGTAGTAGAATCCGTTTCCAGAATCGTATGATATAACATTTGGCGGAATAAAATCATCGTTGAAACCCTGTGAAAATAAAATCAGACAAATTAAAATATTGCAATAGGTATTGCAACTTACAGGTGTTATTTATTCGTCCTTAAATAAAACCAAATACCGCAGCAAGGAAAACTTTGATTATATTATATCATTTAAAGGCGTGTATTAAAAACTATTGAGTAAAAAGTGAAATGGTTAATGATCAGAAATCGAAAAATTTACTCTTATCAACTTTTTAATTCTACTGCTATTTTATATAGTCAATACATTTTGTTCGGCCGGTTTAATATGGTGCGTAGTTGTGTGCTTCTTTTGATTAGTTTTCTAATCGTTCGTTTCACGTTTGGTTGCAGTTCAGTTACAATTTATAGTTGTGCATGTATTCTATAAAATATCTGATGTGTACTTGTATTTAACCGAGTTGCAGTGTATAAGCATATTACACACAAGGCCTCGCAATGAGGGGAGAGGGTCAGTGAGACATTCGGTAATATCCCTTATGGCCCGTGCTAATATTATGATTTATGAATAAACAATAATCTATACATTACTATGAAAAAAATGTATATATTAATAGTATACCTACCTATATCATATGACACTAAATAACTTTTTTAATATTTATCTTATAAGTAATTTAACATTAAAATAATTATATATATTATTTTTTTATATGAATTAAATCTTGTCTGCATATACAATTATAATTAATAATAATCAGCAGTTGTTAGTTAGATTATAAGTAGCGAATTTATTGTATTTGTTAAACTATTATTGCGTATATTATAGTATTCACAAGTACACGGCAGACTTTATTATATTAAGAAAACAAAAATGTGGGTAAGTGAGTATACCACTCTGATGTACAGTAGGTGTCGTGTCCGTCACTGTAATGGATGTGTTAAATTTGAATTCAATGACATAAAATTATTGTATACGAAAAACGATTCTAAGCAAAGACACAATCTATACAACTAAGTATATTATATGATATCATTGCTACTAAAATTATCTAACTTTCCTATTAAACATTTTTAATAAAATAGGGTAAATTCACTTTAACCTAAAAAATTAAATTTGAAAATATAATTTTGTATATAAAATATAGGTATTTAATGAATAATGACTAATGATATACCTAACTAACTTTATGTCCTAAGATATTTTAGTTACAGTATGAACTATGAAATACTTATAAGAAAACATATTTTAAACTCTTGAACCATAGTTAAACAAACATTTTATAAATTTTGACTACAAAATAATTTGCAAACTTTTAATTTGATAAACTTTATCAGAATATGAACTTTAAATGTTTATACGAAAAAATCATGTACCTATGCCTATTTAATTTTAATATTTTTAAACTACCATTAAATTATTCTAAATCCTCATTTAGAATATATTATTATTCATTTTTTTTTTTATAAAATAATTTATTAGATTAGTTCTTTTACGAACTTCAATATTTGGATTTAATTATAGTCATTAACACAGCCAAGAAGTGTCGTTCGATAAACTGTGATTATATAGTATGTATTTTGTTGATATTATTAATTGTATAGGTGGGTACGTCATAATATATTGTCTTGTGAGTACGAAAAAATAAATTGTCAAATTTTATTACATTCTTATAAAAATAAATAGATACACTTTCGACCAGTTTGATATTTTAGAATATTTACTTGATAGGCATATTTTAATTATAAACATATTATATTCTCATTTTAAATATTATAATTTATTATACTCGCATTCAATTTTTTCGGGTACCTAGTTAAACTAAATCGCTATGAAAGACTTATAAGTACTATTAAGGGGCCTGCTCGCGATTTTTCAAATTTTCCGCAATTCTATAAAATTTGAAAATTAAATTTTATATTTTAGTTGCCACCTCAATTATAAGACTTTTCCACTAATCTACTACCCAATACCTATTTAGGGGGGGTTGATAGGGTGTATTATATCGGTCAAAACACAGTTTACAGGAAAAACTCTCACACCTCGTAGATTGGTCCGATTTCCGTATTTTTTTTTTTGTTAGATAGAGGAATATTTTTTACAGGGCGCATTGGACTTCGATTTTTGATTACGTCTCTAAAAACAAAAAATAATACAAAAACTAAAAAGTTGTAAAAATTGATTAAATTCAAACTTGTAACATCAGACTTAGAAAAATAATTTTGAAAATCCAAGTCCAATGCGCCCTGTAAGAAGTCTTCCTCTATCTAACAAAAAAAAAAATTACGGAAATCGGACCAATCTACGAGGCGTGAGAGTTTTTCCTGTAAGGCATGTTTTTGAGCAAAAAAACAGGTCGCGTGCAGGCCCCTTAAAACGATCTGTGTTCATAGCGATTTTCGTAACCAGTTAATATAGGTATAGCTATATCGATGTATGACAACATATTTTACTATTTTATAAATAACATTGTATTTCTAGTCACCGAGAGAAATATTCTACGCATGGTGGAAAAAAATTCGAAAATAAGCTGGATATATTGAAAACTGTAAGTAGGTATATAATCATTGACCATCATAATTATTAATGAACCAACACCGTATGGAATCGACACCCTGTTCCCGTGGAACACTACCAACAACCCCTCTTTTGTTCTCCTTGGTCTCGAACTCTCGATCTAAATGTGCATGTCGACAGTATAATAATAATATAATTATTCGTGTAATACGTAATATTCGTGTAACTCAATACTATTATAATGTTATTATCGCGTTGTTAAAACAATGGCAATAATGACACTGGCTGTTGTGTCGTGGTCTATGTCGTGTGATGACGATTATATTAATTTTATAAGCACACGCACGCAAACAAACCAATACGCACACTCATCAGTGCAGTTATCACATAATATAATAATAATAATAATAATAATAATAATAATACGACGGTAACAATAATAAATAAATAAATTGTTATGCAACCGGTCGAGCGTGTGTGTGAGTGCTGTGATCGCTCGTCGAAAAAAAAAGCTTCCCGGACGAGAGAGAGACCTGCAGCTGAGACTATAAAATAATAATATTATTGTGTACAGACTACAGGTACTACCAGGAAGGCAGGAAATCTGTTACTGTAACATTATATTATTATTATTATTATTATATAGTATTCGCCTTGAACATAATATAAATATATAATATCGTAGTAGCCGCACTATACTCGCTTATAGTCAGGTAGCGGATATAGGTATACCTTATTTTACGAGTCAGTCGCAGGTTTGTTCTCGTCGGTATGAGTTTTACAGTGTGGTCGGTTCAATAAGCGTTACGTTCATGATTTAAAATAGTTTTTTTTATATTATAATATTTTTACACAATATGGTGTATTGATGTAATTGCAAAAAATAATTTCTGAAAAAAAATTACATTTTCAGAATGACGACATATATTTTTTATTTAATTTAATAATTAGATTTATAAAACTGTTTCCGGGACGAGTAGCTTATGTTATAAGTATTTAAAATGTATATGAGCAGAGGTTGTAGTGGACCAACTTTTTCCAGGGTACCACTGACGTCAGCCTGAAATAGTGAAATGTGACATTCTAATCCCCTCATCTAAACTTTAAATACTACCTAATATAACTAATATAATACTAATTGACTACTTTTCAAAAATTTTTTTTTTAGGAATTGAAATACTTAGAAAAATATTTTGCATCAGAATATGAAATTAAAAATGTATGTCATTCAAAAATTAAAAAAAAAACTTTTAAAAATACTAACGATGACGAATAATTGAAAAAATAACATTTTTTTCTAAAATTGTAACTTGCAATTATAATACAATTATGTAAAAAAAACAATTTTGAAAATGTTAAGGCTTGGAAATAGTGAAGATGGTATTTAAGTAATGGTTCACCTTGTAAACTGTATCACACTCGTTTGGCCCAGACAAGACAGCGGTGGTGGCTGCACGTGTTTTGTTAGCGATGCGGTGGGGATTATTATTATACATTGATCTCATATACCATAATATACAAATAAATGTATTTTTTATTGGATTATACAAATGATCAAATTCTTAATTTTTTGAATTTTCTTTGATTTGTGAAATTCCCACGGGGAGAGGGGAGATTGAACGAAAAAACAAAATTTAAAAATGTTTTAACTATACAGGAAGTATTATGCATTCATATACAATTGTATGCAGACCCAGACCAGGTAGTTACGTGAAATATTATTATTTTGTAACTGTATTCACTACACAGGATTTAACGAGTCTATGTCAATTGGTCGTGGTAAAATTTGTCGTCTGAAATTGGTCGTTTTTTAAATTCGTCGTTTTTTAAATTCGTCGTTTGGTAAAATAGTCGTAGTATATTTTCGTCGCGAAATGCGAATACTGGTTAAAAACGTTATGTAGGTACAAATTAACAATAATCAATAGGTATAAAACGTTTTGCGATAATAAGTTAAATAACAGCGTGTACAAATGTACAACTAGCATTATTAGTTATTACAGCTATATTATATTACGATAACAACTATTATCGGATGTTCTTTATCTGGAATACAAATAATAATGTTTCGTTTCTTCTATAGTGTATACTGTGTTTAAAAATTTCAGTTGACCCCATATTCACCCTAGCATTTGGAAATTTATAAGAGCCCTACAAAAAAAAGAAATACTAAACCGTCTGAAAATGGTCCAATATTGCACTGGAGCAGAAACCCCTAGAAAACGAAAGAAATATAATGACACCTCTGAGAGGATAAATACAATATGTAAAATGTTTAATAATAGAACATTTGATGAATATATATCCGGGATAGCTTATAACTTATAATTATTTCCACATATTATTTTTTAAAACTTATAATTATTGTCACATACATTATTTTTACACATATTATTTTTAAAACTTATAATTATTGTCACATATATTATTTTTACTCATATTATTTTTAAAACTTATAATTATTGTCACATACATTGAATTCAAAATTATGACCAAATATTTTTTTTACATAAAATACATATTATATTGAAAACGACTAATTTACCAAACGACCAATTCACCTAACGACCAATTAACAAAACGACCAATTTCGGACGACAAATTTTACTACGACCAATTGACTGTACCCCGGATTAACATTATAATTAAATTTGTATTTGACTTCAATAAATTACAACATTTTTAATTCTCTTTTCATATGCCAAATATTTTTCCAAAAATATCGATATAATATAATATCACAATTTTGAATAAGTAGTTAGTTATAGTTATACGCTTGTAACTTCTAAGTACCTACCTATTTAAAGCTTTTTTGAGTGGATTGGAGTGGAATAGGGATATACCCCAAAATGTTGTCCAAGTACTCTACTCGTTTAACCTTTATATACTTATAACTATGGAATTAGGATATTTACGCACTAAAAAATCAATAAATATAATATATTAAGTAGGTATGCACTTAGGTATTGAAAATAGCTTTCTAACTATGCATGGAAAACATTTAAAAAATTCACTGAATATTTTTATATATTTTTATTGATATATAATAGGTTAGGTTATATATATCATTAATATTATATTGTTTATATCACATAATGTACAATAATAATACTGTATCAAATATAAAATATTATAGAACATGGTAGTTTAATTGAAAAGTCAGTATGTTATAAGAGGGTATACCTTTCTACTACCTACCTATAAATAAAAATAAACCCCAATTGAATAAAGAAAATGTGTACTACATCTATTTTGGATTAGATTCTGAACGTTGAATGTGTTTTTATTTTTTGTACCTGTCATCGCATTTTACCTTTTGGATCAGTGAAAATACCCCAATTATAAACTATGTGTATGGTTTCCGGTAGTTAATTCTATTTAATTTTCACTTTGTGGAAAATTCCCAGAACTTTACTAAATAATCGGGAAAACAACAATTATATAAAACTGAAATATTTACGACACAATAGCAGTTTTGGACAAAATCGATTTTGTGTTTTTGGAGTACATTCCTATTTCAAAATAAAAAGGTGGGCAAGTGGATGTCGCTGTGGAGTGCGGTCTAGTGGGTCACTGTTTAGCGGATGGTATTAAATTTGAATTCAATGATAATATAATATAATTTTATACGAAAAATGATTCTGAGCGGAAGCGGTTTGTCAGTGTGGAAATTTTATATTATGTTTATTGTTGTTACTTATTAATACGGTAACCGGTAAGTTGAATTAATATTATAAAATTACAACAAAATAACCAAAACCGTTATTCTTGGTTAATTAATATGTAATTTTCTCCGAATTTGAACATAAATAACTATAAAAAAAACTGTGTGCTTATATTTATGAGATTTTTTGGTTACAAAATAACCTACTTACGTGATATCTTGTATTTTCAATCCTTAGATATAAATTTTCAACATTTTATACATTTTTAACAACAAAATCGTTTTAAAATTTAAAATCTTATAATGTTGACAAAAACCGAAGTTTAAATGCTTATAAAAAATATGTTGCCATTGTATTTTTAATATTTTTCAATTACTATTGTAACAATATATAAGAGCCTTTTATTAATTTTTCACGCTTTTTACCAAACAAATAAAATTTTATTGGCGTTTACAGAAAAAAAAAATTTTTAAATATAAAAATTGAAAATGTCCGTAAACTGCTCGAAAACAATCAAAATATTTTGAACATTTTATGGCGTATTGGAATTGATAAAATAAACATATGATACGAATTTCAAGGGTCCATGGATATTTTTTTTTTTTTTTAATTACAACAAAATAAGAAAACCACTACTTGAGAAATCGAGTGAATATCCAATGTGGTAAAAATTTGAACTTCAAACGCATATAAAAATTTAATTTGACTTTCTTATAGACATTTGTTTTTTTAATAAAGGTAGATAACCTAAAGTAAGGAATCTTGTATTACATTTTAAAATCTTAGATTTGAAAAGAAAAATGTTAGGGAATTTCTAACTAAAAAAAAAAAAATGTGACCATGGATTTTGAATATTTTTCAAATGTCATTGAAATAATATATTAAGAGAGTAAGTTGTATTGCATTTTCAAGCTTTATACCAAACAAATAACATTTTATTGACATTCATAGAATAAAACCTACAAATATTCGAAAATGAAAATGTCCGTAAACACCTCAAAACAAGTCAACATATTTTATACCATATATTTATGGTATATCGCGAATGGTAATAAAAATGTTCACTGAAAATTCCTTGTATCTACGTTCAGTTGTTTTTAGAGTTACGATAAAAACGAAAATCGAATTTGTCGAAAACCTGATTTTGTGTTTAGATTCCCGTTTTTCTTTAATTTTTTGTTTGTTTTTCCCGGTTGTTTTGAAAACTCCTGGGAATTTTTACCTTTGACCTTCCCAAAAATCAACTAGACTCAATTTCCCATCAAACAATATATACTGTTGAAGAAAATCGAAGCAGCTTTACTGCCCTAAACAGTAAAGGGAGGCACAAAATAAAAATAAATTTAAAAAAAACACAAAACACAATTTGTCAAAACTATGAATATATATTATATATATATATATATATATATATATATATATATATATATATATATATATATAATATATTGTAGTTGATAAAAATGCATAACAATTTTAATATTATTTCTCTGAAATTCAGTACAAGATCTCACATGAGTTGTCCTTTCAGAAATATTTTAAAATATCGAAAATACATAATATAAACATTATGCGGTCTGGAACAGGCTTATATACAGTCCTATAATATTAATATACCTTGGGCCCGTGGCCAAATTTTTCCGACACTAAAAAATGTCGGTGTGCACTCCGGGATACGTTTGGGAACCTCTGCAGTGGTATAAACCACAATGGACCGATTTGGTCGTTATTGTTTTACGCAGCCGTTCTGGCAAACACGCACGCACGACCGTATATGGCGAGTCTGAATGCGTTCCAGAACGAAGATGGAATATTGTTATCGTTTACCTGTACAGGTACTTACAATGCGTTTGTTATAATAAAATGTTTATAACCGTTTTACAGAAATCAAGGATTTGTTTAGTCCGTTACAGTGTTACAATGACTATACATACATCGGTATAATATACCCACAACCTATACCTAGGAACCTATGGTACTACAATATTATTAATTTCGTACCTATAGTTAATAGATGTTCACACTGAAACCACTACACTATACGTACACGTAATAGTGTTTGGTGTGTAAGTGTTTACTGTATTTTATTTATTGCTTACGTATTCGATGTTAGCGGCCGTAGGGTACGAACAAGGATAACAGTCCATGTGGCTGATTCCATTATCGTCCGAGTTGCATTCGCACGTCTGGCATTTAGGCGCCGGCGCTGTCTTAGCGATCCTTTTAGCGAAAACTTGCAAAAACTTCTTCACCAGGTTCAAGTTGTCGGTATCCATTTTTTTCGACGTGAACAACGAACCTGCGTCAGATAGTAGAAATATTATTTTTCGTGTATAATACGAAACGAAACATTATCAATTCGCTAAACCCAATCAGATTTTATGCGTTATAAGTATGTCATGAAAGGTAGGTTTATCAAATATATTATACAATCCTATCTAGGATTTATTTGAGGTCGGGAAATATAGTTTTTCTCCCTTCATTGGAAATACATGAAAACATCTATCTTATTCATCTATAAGTTATAAAATCTCTGATAAAAATATTAATGTAATATTGGATCTAATATTTATTATACTTTTAAATTGTAAGTATATAATATACCATCTTACAAATTCAGAATATTGATGGATCAATATTTTTAAATCATCGTATCCCGATTTCTCAAAAACATACTGTTATGGGCCTATTATTCTTATTAGTTAAAAAACAAAGTTCAATAACTTGAAAGTTCAAATTTTAAATATGATACGTCAACATAATCAGAAAAATATATCCTAAATAGTAGAAAAGGGTGGTTCCCATTTAAAAACAAATGTTTGTAACTCCGCATGACTCCTCATGCAGAACGAAAAATCTCAAAAATTAGAACGTATGGACTTTAGATAGGTATACCAAAAATAAGATTTTGAATAACTGCATTATTGAAAAAAAGAGTAAGAGAAGATCTCTTGGTGAATCACCCTATATGTATAGCATATTTTATACATAGTGTATGCTCGACGCCATAATATTATTTTTTTAAATTTATATTTTAGAAAATTTTTACTGTATTATAAGGTTACAATTCATTCTTATAATAGTGCCTAGTAGTTTAGGGTTTATATTTTAAACTCAATAAATAAACAAATTTCAATATGACGTGTCTTTGTGCTGCTCAGAGACAGGTAAATAGTTAATTCATCGGTCGCTGATTTATGGGAATATTTTAAAAGTCGAAAGACTAATTTCTCTTAACTATTCAAACAGTTGGTTAAGTTTTAAAGTTTAGGCGGGATACGAGTAGAGTGGAACTTATGTATCATATATTATATTACAGTATTACACGAATATAGCAATAGGCGAGCGCCTATATTATAGTATATTAGTATGTATACGAGGACAAACAACTGAACACTGTATATTTTAAAGACATCGATCGCATATGAATATATGTGGTATAACATATTATACAGTGTTGTACCCTGCGAGGATTTACTTATTTAAAGTGTTGTAGTGTAACAATAGACACGCCGCAGCTCGTATCATCATTATATTGTCAGCGCAACCACTTTAAAACGGTAAATTCTTCGCGGGACGTATACTTTTTATAAAATATCTGCGTGCATAAAAAACTATCAGTAGTTCAATCGAGACAAACCGTTCGACTCCAAAACGATGGGCGTGCAGTATCCCAGCATGTTCTTCGTTAACTTCACCTGTTTTCTGAGGCTCGGGTCTCCCTTTAGCACCTTGAAGTCGTTTCTCGTGTACGCCGTCTCGGCATCGACGCCTAAAACACACCCAAACATTGTTATTATAGTACTTCATATTATTATAATATTATATCATTTATTTATCTGCATGCACAAGACAAGTAGGTATATTATATATATTTTTATTTTTTAATTCAAATAATCATGTACACTTATATATTGCACATTATAATATATTATATCCACAGAACTAATCAGTACTCATTACATGTACTCCACTAACTACTAGAACTTAATTTCATCATGTGACAGAGGAACTCAGAATATTATCTATATTTTCTGGAAAAATGTATAAATATTGATGCTCCTGGACTAAGTGGGGGGGGGGTTAAGGGGGACCAGAGGAACAAACCCCCCATTGGCCTAACATATAACTATAAATATTTGTGTCGTAAAACCAAGCTGGACTTTGAGTAGGTATTACATTAATTTACCTTTTCATGGAATTTAACTAGAGCGTAATTTCTAATTTTTATATTCCCTTATGCAACAGCATTATACTGCAATAAATTATCCAAAAACAATAATTATTCACTCATTAAAATTAAGTGTTTTACTATTGAGGATGCCTCATTTTTAAAGTTGTCTAAATTGTAAACTTTTTTTATTATGTTGGTTCAATAAATATTATTTAATGGTTTGTATTAATATATTATAATATATTACTGTATCTTCCTGTTATACTACCAACAACAGCCAATTTCGTTATTATTTCCTAATTACAGTGTAAACTGGACTTTCTCGTTTGTTTGAAAATTAAAACAAATAAATATGGGCTTGGCATACAAAAACTAAAAATTGTTTTACTTAAGAGTATCATAATAACCTATATGAACCTACTGTACCTATATGTATAGTATTTTAACACCAATAAATTGACAATCTCTTGTTTTGGTACTGACATTGTTTAAATAATTAAGTTAGGTATAGGTTAGAGGGTACCATCGCTGGATGATTTCCCTCATCTTGTGTTTCATGTGTTATTTTTTTATGTATGTATACTATATAGTGTTATGTCAGCCATCTATTTTACTTATTGTGTCATGTAATACAGATTGTAAATTTTAAATATAAAAAAAAAAAGTATAGGTACCAGCTAATTGGCCCCCGAAAAAATGTTCCCGCAATTCACCGGTTTATGCGATTATTCTATAATATATTATAATATTATTATGTATATAGTATGCTAAATTAAATAGTAGTTATGATGTATTATGATTGCGTCTCCCGTACATTGTCACTGAGTTTCGGTCGATGAATGTTAGGTATATTGGGTTATTGGGAGTGTGTATTTTTCTCGTGCCCATTTTATTTGTACCGTATAATGTATAACGTAGGTAGGTAGGTACACATTCGCAGACCACCGTGTGATATAATAAGTGTTATATCGACGAAACCGCACGAGCGCCGCCGCAATAATAAACAATTTTTTTTTCTTCAACCCGTTGTCTGAAAATGCGTACGTATATAATGATATCACGCCGCACAAAGACAACGCGCGATTATTATTTAACAGATATATAATATGAATACAAGTATAATACCTACGTGACGTTACACCATCATGACCGACTGTAATACACTCTTGGTTAATATTATTTATTCGCAATACATCTGCCTACCCACAGTCCGTGCTGCAGTGATACTAAATGCAGTACATTCACTACGATATAATAATATTATATTATACCATAATATCCGTCTATGAAGGCGCACGAGGTCTTTGCACTCTTGAAAACGGCTTGTATTACTCAACTGTTCCCATAGACCGTGGAGGTACTGCTTGTATAGGTACTTATAATATTATACAATTATTTATATATTTCGTTTATATATTATTTAGTATTTTTACTGGTGTTTGGCTTCTGTTAAGACAGAGACGGTAAACATACTGTTCAGGGCCAGTGGTCCGCGAAGTGACCCAAGATATTATTATAATATAGGTAATATAAATGCAGGGTTGTATAATAGGTATGATACCTATTAAAATGTCGTAAGCACTTTAACCGTAGTCTCGTATGTTATATCACTCCATAAAAACTATAATCCACGTTATTATAAAGATTTAAATTTACAATTTTTCAGAGATATAGACGCGGCATAATTACTTTGGAAGACAAAAGTGAAGAACATGAGTGACTAACAGTTTGAACCAAAATAAGTATTTTTTTGCTCTCCCCGAGAATTTGGAAACAGTGAAACAGTGAATTTTTTACTTTTCCTGGAACAAGTGCAGTAAACCGTGTTCCGTATGTACGTTCTATTATTATAATACACGACACGTACGTTTCACAATTCGCGTGTGATTGCAAGCATAATTTTGGAAGACAAAAGGTAATAAGATGGAGTCACAGTTTAAACAGGGGGTTCTTAACCGGTGCCAGTAAATGGATGTCAATGGGGTCTGTAGATGGTTAATTGGTGGTATTTTGAAAAGATTTTATAATAATATTGTTCGGACGTATTGAATTTAATTCAAAATTGTATTAGATGAAATCCTTATACGTTATAAGTTATAACCTTACTCATTAGTCATTACTCGTTATAGAAATAATTTCTTTTAATTAAAATATTAAATAGATAATAATCAAAAGGGTTTTGTGTGCTATACCTTCTATATTATTATACTGCATAGTGATGAAAAATGCAGAAAAGGTTAAGAAACCTAACCATGGTTTAAACCAACCAAAATAAGTATACAGTTTTTCCTCTCCGCGAGAATTCGGAAATAGTGACTTTGTACTTTTTTTCTGGAACGACTATGAGTGAAGTATACCGTACGCATTATTATTATAATACACGACACGTCGTATGTAAGTTTCACAATTTGCTTGCGATTGCAGTACGAGACGATCTGCACGCGTTTGCGCAAAAACCAAACGCGGTCGTTTGCCGTATTACGGCGGGCACACACAATATTTATACAAAGCATTATTATTATTATTATTATTGTCGCCGCGATTGTATGCACGAGATAGGTATATACGAGATTTCACTGTTAGGGACGCGAATACCGACTATGTATTATATCATATTATTTTTCCGTTATGATATCACTTGCGATTCGCCAGTGTCGGTGCTGCGATACCTTACCTATATTATAATAATATGCTCATAGATTTTATTATTATTATGTGTATAGGTATAAGTAAAGCGCGGCTGCACGTCTTCGACCTTTGAGCTCGCTGCAGACGGCGGTCGAGCCGATCGGAAATCGGTATTAAGCGCTATATGATAATATTACAATATAATACAGTAATACCTATAGTATACTTAGGTATAGTTCTTGTTACTATATTATATACGCTACATCCAGTGTTTGCAAAGACCGTGCGTGCATCGCATTCACGTTGATATATTGCTAACGACAAGTGAACGTCGCATCGTCGCTCTCTATAATCTATATTATATCAAATATAGAACGCGAACGTGAAGGAAATTCATATTTTTATAAGTAATTCTACGATTTTTAGGTCGTTCAGATGAAATTTCGTTTTTAATATTATGATCATGGTATTGTATCGACATATTGTATTCCGGTTTAATCGGCAAATCTATAATATTATACAAAATTAAAGTTTTTTTAAAAATGTATAATATTATGCAATCTTAAAAAAATCAGCAAGTGGGTAACGTTCTGTTGCACATTCAGTGTCTAGAAAAGTCACTGTATCTAATGGATGTGTTAAATTCAATGATATAAGAAAAATGAAAAATGATTCTGAGTGAATGCGGTCTGTCAGTCTTTAATATTACTAAGTATATTTTATGATATTATTGTGATTAATCGATTAAAGTAATTTGTATTTTTATTAGGCATTAGTACTACAAAATAGTACAATATTACATTTGAAAAATATGGCATTACTCAGTGTGTGTATAAAATATTATAAATAAACGAGATATAAGAGGTTTTTTGGATTTGAAATTTTATATGAATCTATAGTTTTTAATTTGAAAATTTTGTCAAAATAAGCATAACAATTTGAAATATGCACTCTTCTGCAAAATCTATCAAATATGCAAAAATATGCACATTCAAATTTTAGATCTGATATCATGGCACCGAGAAACGAATTTATTTCGCACTCCGCTATATTTAACAATAATTAAAAAAAGTATGCAAATGCTAGAAGTCCTTAAGCTTAATTATAATATATTTTTTAAGTTTCAAGTACCCAGGAATATTATTTTTAAATTCCAACTTGTAATTATTTGTTTAAATATATAATTTCATCCAAATGACTACAAAATAATGTTTTACAAAATAAATTTTCAATTTGATAAATCTTGTCAACATTTGAACTTTAAATGCTAATGAAAAAAAATCTTGCCTATGTAGTTATAATATTTTTAAATTTGCTATTGTGGCAATGTATGGGGAGCATTGAAATTACATTTTTAAGTTTTTAAGCCAACGAATAAAATTTTATTGACGTTTATATAAAAAAAACTAAACAAATAAAAAACTGGAAATGTCTTTATACGAGTCAAAATATTAAAAATTTTAAAAATTTTATCAAGTATAGATAATTATAAAATAAAAATTTGGTGTAAATTTCAAGTATCTACAGTTATTTGTCTTTGAATTACAATAAATTAAAAAAAACCGTCCCATTAGAAACTAAATGAATATCCAATGTCGTACAAATTTGGGCTTATGACGGTCATAAAAAACTATTGTGTATTTACCCTCAACTTTTTTTAATTTCCACTAATATCAACTAACGAGGAACCTTGTATTAAGTTTTTTGACTGGGCGAAAGTTTTTTTATTGCCATTCATTTTAAAAAACCTGATACAAATTTGAAATTTCTTATGCGTATGAATAACTTAAAATGATCCAACATTTTTTTCCCTGGCTATTTTGAATACTACTGAGAAAAACAAATAAAATAGTGGCTTCTTAAAAAACAGGATTTGCATTTTCTTAAGTAACAATAACATTGAAAATAATTGATTACTCGGAGTAGTATTTGGAACAACTTTGTGAAAGAAAACCATTAAATTGTTTAAATGACACTCTAAAAAACCGT